CGAGAAGGTTTCAAATTCTTAAAAAAATACATTTAGGGCCCCCGAGAAGGTTTTACATTTTTAAAAAGATAGATCTGGGAACCCCGACAAGGTTTTACATTAAAAAAAACCAGATGGGGGCCCCGAGAAGGTTTTACATTTTTAACATAGACAATTGGGACCCCCGAGGAGGTTTCAAATTCTTAAAAAAGTACATTTAGGGCCCCTGAGAAGGTTTTACATTTTTAAAAAGATAGATTTGGGACCCTTGAGAAGGTTTTACATTAAAAAAAAAACAGATGGGAGCCCCGAGAAGGTTTTACATTTTTAACATAGACAATTGGGACCCCCAAGGACGTTTCAAATTCTTTAAAAAATACATTTAGGGCCCCCGAGAAGGTTTTACATTTTTAAAAAGATAGATTTGGGACCCTCGAGAAGGTTTTATTTAAAAAAAAAAAAACAAATGGGAGCCCCGATAAGGTTTTACATTTTTAACCTAGACAATTGGGACCCCCCCCCGGGAGGTTTCAAATTCTTAAAAAAAATACATTTTGGGTCCCCGAGAAGGTTTTACATTTAAAAAAAACATAGGACCCCCGACAAGATTTCACATTAAAAAAAAGACAATTAGGACCCCCGAGAAGGTTTCAATTTCTTAAAAAAAAATACATTTAGGGCCCCCTAGAAGGTTTTACATTTTTAAAAAGATAGATTTGGGACCCTCGAGAAGGTTTTACATTAAAAAAAACCAGATGGGGGCCCCGAGAAGGTTTTACATTTTTAACATAGACAATTGGAACCCCCGAGGAGGTTTCAAATTCTTTAAAAAATACATTTAGGGCCCCCGAGAAGGTTTTACATTTTTAACATAGACAACTGGGACCTCTGAGAAGGTTTCACATTCTTAAAAAAATACATTTAGGGCCCCCGAGAAGGTTTTACATTTTTAAAAAGATAGATTTGGGACCCTCGAGAAGGTTTTACAATTAAAAAAAAAACAGATGGGAGCCCCGAGATGGTTTTACATTTTTAACATAGACAATTGGGACCCCCGAGGAGGTTTCAAATTCTTTAAAAAATACATTTAGGGCCCCCGAGAAGGTTTTACATTTTTAACATAGACAATTGGGATCCCCCCAGGAGGTTTAAATTCTTAAAAAAAATACATTTAGGGCCCCCGAGAAGGTTTTACATTTTTAAAAAGATAGATTTGGGACCGTAGAGAAGATTTTACATTAAAAAAAAAACAGATGGGAGCCCCGAGAAGGTTTTATATTTTTAACATAGACAATTGGGACCCTCAAGAAGGTTTTACATTAAAGAAAAACAGATGGGAGCCCCGAGAAGGTTTTACATTTTTAACATAGACAATTGGGACCTCCAAGGACGTTTCAAATTCTTTAAAAAAATACTTTTAGGGCCCCCGAGAAGGTTTTACATTAAAAAAAAGACAATTAGGACCCCCGAGAAGGTTTCAATTTCTTAAAAAAAAATACATTTAGGGCCCCCTAGAAGGTTTTACATTTTTAAAAAGATAGATTTGGGACCCTCGAGAAGGTTTTACATTAAAAAAAACCAGATGGGGGCCCCGAGAAGGTTTTACATTTTTAACATAGACAATTGGAACCCCCGAGGAGGTTTCAAATTCTTTAAAAAATACATTTAGGGCCCCCGAGAAGGTTTTACATTTTTAACATAGACAACTGGGACCTCTGAGAAGGTTTCACATTCTTAAAAAAATACATTTAGGGCCCCCGAGAAGGTTTTACATTTTTAAAAAGATAGATTTGGGACCCTCGAGAAGGTTTTACAATTAAAAAAAAAACAGATGGGAGCCCCGAGAAGGTTTTACATTTTTAACATAGACAATTGGGACCCCCGAGGAGGTTTCAAATTCTTTAAAAAATACATTTAGGGCCCCCGAGAAGGTTTTACATTTTTAACATAGACAATTGGGATCCCCCCAGGAGGTTTAAATTCTTAAAAAAAATACATTTAGGGCCCCCGAGAAGGTTTTACATTTTTAAAAAGATAGATTTGGGACCGTAGAGAAGATTTTACATTAAAAAAAAAACAGATGGGAGCCCCGAGAAGGTTTTATATTTTTAACATAGACAATTGGGACCCTCAAGAAGGTTTTACATTAAAGAAAAACAGATGGGAGCCCCGAGAAGGTTTTACATTTTTAACATAGACAATTGGGACCTCCAAGGACGTTTCAAATTCTTTAAAAAAATACTTTTAGGGCCCCCGAGAAGGTTTTACATTTTTATAAAGATAGATTTGGGACCCTCGAGAAGGTTTTACATTAAAAAAAAAAAACAAATGGGAGCCCCGACAAGGTTTTACATTTTTAACCTAGACAATTGGGACCCCCCCGGGAGGTTTCAAATTCTTAAAAAAAATACATTTAGGGCCCCCGAGAAGGTTTTACATTAAAAAAAAAGCAGATGGGAGCCCCGAGAAGATTTTACATTTTTAACATAGACAATTGGGACCCCCGAGGAGGTTTCAAATTCTTAAAAAAAATACATTTAGGGGCCCCGAGAAAGTTTTACATTTTTAAAAAGATAGATTTGGGATCCTAGAGAAGATTTTACATTAAAAAAAAAACAGATGGTAGCCCCGAGAAGGTTTTACATTTTTAACATAGACAATTGGGACCCCCGAGGAGGTTTCAAATTCTTAAAAAAATACATTTAGTGCTCCCGAGAAGATTTTACATTTTAAATAGATATATTTGGGACCCTCGAGAAGGTTTTACATTAAAAAAAAAACAGATGGGACCCCCGAGAAGGTTTCACATAAAAAAGAGACATTTGGGGCTCCCGAGAAGGTTTTACATTTTTGAAATAGACAATTGGGATGCCCGAGAAGATTTCACATTGTTAAAAAAATACATTTTGGGTCCCCGAGAAGGTTTTACATTAAATAAAAAACAGATGGGACCCCCGACAAGGTTTTACATAAGAAAAGAGACATTTAGGGGCCCCGAGAAGGTTTCACATTTTTGAAATAGACAATTAGGATCCCCGAGAAGGTTTCACATTGTTAAAAAAATACATTTCGGCCCCCCGAGAAGGTTTTACATTTTTAAAAAGATACATTTGGGACCCCCGAGAAGGTTTCACGTTAAAAAAAAAAGATATATTTGGGGCCGTTGAGAAGGTTTTACTTCAATAAAAATAGTTGAGACCCCCGGGAAGGTTCCACATTAAAAAAAAGACATTTCCCGAGCCTGAGAAGATTTTACATGAAAATAGACAATGGGGACCCCCAAGAAGGTTTCACATTAAAGGAAAAGACATTTGGCGCTCCCGAGATGATTTTATAAAATAAAATAATAAATTATAATGTGTCAGTTTGTATGTGGTGAAGTCTTTAACCTTGGCGTATGTGATCAGAATTTAATCAAAATATTAGTTTCAGAATTTGCGACACGTTTCTTATCTTTTTAGGCAGAGTAAGGACACATAAATTTCTAAAAAAACGTTCAAATTAGAATCAGAAATATTTTGCCTTCAAATTTTAAAGGTTAACCTAATTCATGGTCCAACAAATAGACTATTTAAATCAATTTAAAGTTTTTAATGGAATCCGCTAGCTGAAAAAAATTCAGATTTTCATAAATTCCGTAATTTGCCTTAGATAGATTTCTTAACTTTTAATTAACTTCTGATTTTGTGTTATTGGTTAACATTTCCATCAAAATTACATTCATTTCGACTTTAGATAACAAAAAAATTAAGAACGTCCCTTGCCCCGAAAGCTTCTTCGAAAAATTATAAAATTTGATTTTGCGGCGAAACTTTAGATAATAAAAAAGTGGCCCATAATCCATCAACCACTTCTTAAACCTTCTGCTCATATTACTAGAAAAGGTTTATATTTTTGATTTTTTTTTTAATAAAATTTAAATTTTATTAATATTTCGAGAAGTCGCTCCCTGTCGTTGTAAAACACGAATACAATTTTCGATAAAATTAAAAAATCAAGGTGTGATTCATTTCGGAAATTTTGTACATACACCTTAAGAAAGTAAATCTCGCCTGCGGCTCGACCCGACAACGGTATGCAAGCGGTGCACAAATTTCCCTCAAAGAGTCACCATTGGAACATAAAACTGTAAACCTCGCCTGCGGCTCGGTCTCAACGCCATTACGTATTTCAATTTTTCGCTCTTTTCAAAGAAAATAAAATAAAAAACTCAGGTTATTATTAAAAACAAATGTCGATAGCGTGACAACTCTTAAGTCATCAAGCAAAAACTTTCAAACAACATCTGGTAAGTAAAGGCACAACGCTGCGATTTTGTATCGAATTGTACGTTCCCTCGTCACCTAAATTTGCAAAACTTCAACTCCAGTCAATAATGATAGTCACTTCCTGGGTTTTCGCTGCCCGCTCAATATTCACGTTGTTCTTGGAAAAGGCGACAAAATTTTCCTAAAATTAAAAACCGAGTGTAATCAAGCTTTTTTGTGTAAGTCATTTCACGGCTTGCAACGTCTTGGCAAAAAGTTGGCAGCTACAATATTGCATTCTATATTCCTGAGGACGGAGAATCGATTACGCAGACTTCATCTACATAGCACTACGTACTATTTTTGATTTGTCGCAATGACAACTAAATTAACTGCGTGTGAAGATTAATTTTGGCGCTGCTGACAAAGAGTCGACAACAATACCGCCAAAAAATTCCACTTCCAGCGCCCATTATAAATTACAAACACATAAACTCTCACACAAACAAAGAAGGGCAAAGACCATCCCGATAACCGAATATCAACAAAGTATTTTTACTCAACGTTGTATTTTTATCCTGTTAATTTAAAGTTAAACGCACGAATTTTTGTATTTAGAACACGTCGAAACCGACCAGTGCATCGTATTTATAGCGCAATGTGCAAAATCGAGTGCGCCTAGTAATACCCCGAATATTTTCCCTTCGGGGTAGCGCCTTCTCGGAAGCCCAGGTAGCGCAGGGCGCTACCTGTTGCTCTTCTCCGATCACCCACCTTGTTATAAAAAAATGAAAATCGCGCTTTTATCCAAAAAACCCAGGGAAAGCACTGTCACTGCAACCACTTGTCACTTTTCACGGTTTTCTTTCATCCGAACATATCGTCGGTTTTTCTCGCACTGCACTTCCGTGTCCGTCTTTCACAACTGGTTCGACCGTCTGCACGTCGGTATCTGAGAGCCCGCAATGGACTGAGTGGGCTTACTTTCTGTACCGACCGCTGTTTGTGCCCCACTTGCCATGCTAACGCCGATCCTGATACATCCTTCCTTATTACGGCTACTTACTCTTTGCATTTACCAGAAGCGGTGGCGGTAACGAGGTATCTCGGGAAGGCCCACGCTGTGGCCTTTGCTATTTGCCGTTTTCGAAACTGCGATTAGCGCTAATCAATTGATTTTTAATGCAGGATGTTGTGCATGCGAAGTGCTTGGGCAAGAGGTACGCAATGAGGATTCTAATTGGCGTGGCGTTCAAGGTGGCGGAGACGATTTTGGCGGGCTGTTGAGCCCGAGAGAGGAATTTCCACGAAGGCCTTGCGGGGCTGACCAGTGCGACCGTTTTTGTTATCGCGACATAGTTTGATTATGCAGATTTGTGCAGTAAACACGATGAAAGTCCAGCTTTAAAAATAAATATATGTTTTTGAAACGCAGTTTTTTCAACTACAAAGTCTACAATTTTTGAGATATGATTTTGACCACCAAATTTCGGAATTGTGAATAAGCACGTTTAGTTTCGACATGATGGTGCGCTGCCGAATTATATTGTTCGTAATTGTAACGTGTGCCCTTTATTTTCCGGCATAGATTAAATTTTTGGAAATTGTATTCTTGGAAACTTAAAACACGTTTGAAATGGTGAGTTTTTGTAAGGAAATATGGATTTTGCAATTAGGCTCCGCCTCTCGGTCTGACAACGAATGAAAAATTCATCACGATTGAGATTGAGACGAATGGATGGTTTTCTTTTTTAATTAACAAATTTAGTTTTCTTTGTATAACACGATTACATAAGAACATATTTCATATGGTAATTTCTCGTAGAAAAATAAGAATTTACAATTAAGCTCCGCCCCTCGGCTTACGGCGAATAAGAAAAATGACCAGATTTAAAAAATCAATTAATTTTCCATTTTAAACATGTTTTAATTCTCATGTTGTGAAAATAAGTCTGCACATACTTATTAAAATATAAAGGAAAAATGTAAGCCCACCCACCCACCCTATCTCCATTGTGATGATTTTTATTATTCGCCCTGAACCAGGGGGAGAAGCTTATCTGCAAAATATTTTTTTCTTTATAAGAAACTAAAAAAATGTTTTTGAGTGTTGTGTTCAGATAATACTATGTATATTAAGAAAAAAAAAGGCAAATTTAAACCCCGCCCACCCACCCTATCCCAATTGTGATGATTTTTTTATTCTTTGAAATTCAAACCATGCGTAAAATGGTGAATTTTGTAGCGAAATGTGGATTTTGCAAATAAGCTCCGCCCCTAGGTCTAGCAACGAATGAAAACTTGATTATTGTATATTTAGATCAGTTATGGGTGGAGCTTAAACCATGACTTTCATTTTTTCTTAATATACACAGTATTGTTTGAACAACACGAAACTCAAAAACATGTTTTTAATTTCTTATGGAGAAATAAGGAATTTGCAGTTCAGCTCACGACGAATAAAAAAATCATCCGAATTGAACCCGGGTGGGTGGGCGGGGTTATATTTTGCCTTTTTTTCTTAATATACATAGCCATCTTTTCACAACAAGAAACTTAAAACGTGGTTAAATGGAACAAATTTGCAAGGAAATATGGATTTTGTAATTAAGGGGTGGAGCCTAATTGCAAAATCGATATTTCTTTATACTTTTTTCTCATTTTAAACATGTTTTAAATTTCATCTTGTAAAAAGAAGTATACACATACTCAAAGAAAAAGGCAAAATGTCAGCCCGCCCACCCACCCTATCTCTATTGTGATAATTTTTTTATTCGCCGTGAACCAAGAGGGCGGAACTTAACTGCAAAATACTTATTTCTTTACAAGAAATTAAAAACATGTTTGTGAGTATCGTGTTGTTCAAAGAATACTATGTATATTATGAAAAAAAGGCAAAATATTAGCCCCGCCCACCCACCCCATCTCAATTGTGATGATTTTTTTTTCCGCAGAAACTTAAAACACGTTTAAAATGGGAAATTTTTGTAAGGAAATATGGATTTTGCAATTAGGCTCCGCCTCTCGGTTTGACAACAAATGAAAAATTCATCACAATTGAGATATAGACGAATGGGTGGGGTCTCTCTTTTGGTTTTCTTTTTTAATTAATACATTTAGTTTTCTTTGTATAACACGATTACTTAAGAACATATTTCACATGGTAATTTGCGGTAGAAAAATACGATTTTACAATTAAGCTTCGCCTCTCGGCTTACGACGAATAAAAAAAATCACCAGAATTAAGATAGGGAGGGTGGGCGGGGCTTATATTTTGCCCTCTTTTCTTAATATACATGTCTATCTTTTCACAACAAGAAACTTAAAACATGGTTAAAATGGTACATTTTGGAAGAAAATATGAATTTGGAAATTATGGGGCGGAGCCTAGTTGCAAAATCGATATTTCTTTATACAAATTTTCCATTTTAAACATATTTTAAGTTTCATTTTGTGAAAAGAAGTCTACACATATTACACACAAAAAAACAAAATGTAAACCCGTCCACCCGCCCTATCTCTATTGTGATAATTTTTTTATTCGCCGTGAACCAAGAGGGCGGAGCTTAACTACAAAATACTTATTTCTTAACAAGAAATTAAAAACATGTTTGTGAGTATCGTGTTGTTCAAAGAATACCATGTATATTATGAAAAAAAGGCAAAATATTAACCCCGCCCACCCACCCCATCTCAATTGTGATGAATTTTTTTCCTCAGAAACTTAAAACACGTTTAAAATGGTAAGTTTTGGTAAGGAAATATGGATTTTGCAATTAGGCTCCGCCTCTCGGTTTGACAACAAATGAAAAATTCATCACGATTGGAATCGAGGCGAATGGATGGTTTTCTTTTTAGTTGATACATTTAGTTTTCTTCGTATAAGACGCTTACTTAATAACATATTTCACATAGTAATTTCTCGTGGAAAAATAGGGATTTTACAATTAAGCTCCGCCCCTCGGCTTACGACGAATAAAAAAAAATCACCAGAATTAAGATAGGGCGGGTGGGCGGGGCTTATATTTTGCCCTCTTTTCTAATATACATAGCCATTTTTCCACAACAAGAAACTTAAAACATGGCTAAAATGGTACGTTTTGGAAGGAAATATGGATTTGGCAGTTATGGGGCGGAGCCTAATTGCAAAATCGATATTTCCTTATACAAATTTTTCTTTTTAAACATGTTTTAAGTTTCATTTTGTGAAAAAAAGTCTACACATTAAAACAAAAAGGCAAAATGTAAGCCCCGCCCACCCGCCCTGTCTCAATTGTGATGATTTTTCTTATTCGCCGTGAATCAAGGGGGCGGAGCTTAACTGCAAAATACTTATCTCTTTACGTGAAATTAAAAACATATGTGTGAATATCGTGTTGTTCAAAGAATGCTATGTATATTAAGAATTAAAAGGCAAAATATAATCCCCGCCCACCCACCCCATCTCTATTGTGATAATTTTTTTATTGCTAGAGACTTTAAACACGTTTAAAGTGGCAAATTTTTGTAGGGGAATGTGAATTTTGCAATTAGACTCCGCCCCGAAGTTTGGGAACGAATGAAAACTTCATCACTACATATTTATTTAGCTCAGGATAGGTAGGTATTGGTGGGGCTTTTTTTCTTAATATACATGGACAAAACGGTATTCAAAAATATGTTTATAATTTCTCATAGAAAAATAAGGATTTTGCAGTTAAGCTACGCCCCCTTGGCTCACGACGAATAAAAAAAAATCATCACAATTGAGATAGGGCGGGTGGGCGATACTACATTTTGCCCTTTTTTTTCTTAAAATGTGTAGATTTATTTATACAACAAGAAACTTAAAACATGTCTAAAATGGTAAATTTTTGTAGTAATAATAATAGATTTAAAACAAATTGAAAGTGACCCCGCCCACCCACCCCTACTCCGTTTTGATAATGCATTCTTATTGGCTCTGAAGGTGGATTTTATATTGATACATACATAATAGAATCTAGGATTACATATTTTGAATACAATTTAATGTTTACTAAATTGTTTCAATTTTTAGACTTTGCAATTCTTCGAGTTCTCAATTTTTAATTTTTCAGTTTTTTATTCAATTTTTCGTTTAGCAATTTTTTAGTTTTTTTTGTTAGTACTTGCTAAGATAAAAGTGACTCTGGCAAATCACTAGCCTCTAAAAAAATAGAGGGTGGGTGGGCGGGCCTAGTATTTGCTAAGATGAGACTAATTTTGGCAAATAAGATACTGCTTAATAAAATACAAGGCGAGTGGGCCGGACTAGTACTTGCTTGCTTGTTTGACTTTTTGGAAAAAAGCTAAATTCAGCCCCGCCCACCTTTTTTATCTATTTCACTGACTATTTTCTCTGTTTATTGTAAAATGGGAATTCAATTTTATTTTGATAAGATTTAAAACAAAGTATAGGTGTCCCCGCCCACCCACCCCTATGCCGTTTTGATCATTCATTCTCATTAGAAAAATAAAGATTTTGCAATTAAGCTCCGCCCCCTTGGCTCAGGACTAATAAAAAAAATCATCACAATTGCGATAGGGCGGTTGGGCGGGGCTACATTTTGCCCTTTTTTTCTTAATATGTGTATACTTATTTATACAACAAGAAACTTAAAACATTTCTAAAATGGTTAATTTTTATAGTAATAATAATAGATTTAAAACAAAGTAAAAGTGGCCCCGCCCACCCACCCCTATTCCGTTTTGATAATTCATTCTTATTGGCTGTGAAGTTGGATTTTATATTGATAAATACATAATAGAATCTAGGATTACATATTTTGAATACAATTTAATATTTACTAAATTGTTTCAGTTTTTAGACTTTGTAATTCTTCGAGTTCTCAATTTTTAATTTTTCAGTTTTTTATTCTTCCATTTTTCGTTTAGCAATTTTTTAGTTTTTTTTTTTGTTAGTACTTGCTAAGATAAAAGTGACTTTGGCAAATCACTAGCCTCTAAAAAAATAGAGGGCGGGTGGGCGTGCCTAGTATTTGCTAGGATAAGACTAATTTTGGCAAATAACATACTGCCTAATAAAATACAAGGCGGGTAGGCAGGCTAGTACTTGCTTGCTTGTTAGACTTTTTGGAAAAAAGCTAAATTCAGCCCCGCCCACCTTTTTTATCTATTTCACTGACT